ATACACTCTATAGGCCAATATATTCTGACTGACACTACCGATCATGGCTTTGGACAATCAAGGCTTTCACATAACACTTTTTAGCAAGATAGAAAAGGTGTTGACTGGATTACCAGCTTAGTTCTACCCATACTACATGCTGTATTCCTTGATAAGGGCAGTACTGGTCAGTTTAGGCACATTTTGACCAGTATGCCACAAGTGTAACTAGCTCAGGTTTTGCCTCAAGAATCCTATGTAGGCTAGGATTACTAATTTAGAGATTACCAAGCATCCCACCAAATCAATGGAATTTCTAATAAACTATCCAAACAGAATTAGGTGGGCTCATATGCATTTTGTAACTCTGCAGAAAGGTAGATATTGTGATTGCCCCCCCAAATTGTTTCCATATCTACAAAATGCAAGAATGAGAGTGGAGGGAGGCAAAGGATTATAATGAAGGGTCTAAGGACTATTTTCTAATCACAGGAAGAGGTTCGTCCACAGTTCCTGGGCCCCTCCCCAAGCCTGCAACAGGGCAGAGTCTGAAGCACCTCATACGATGTGCTGTCAGTTATATCATCATCCAGCACACACTACACTACCTTCTCTTTGCCTCTGATGTACCAAATATGCAGAAAGAGGGAAGCAGAGAAATGGAATCAACTGAATGGCATGACTACATTCTACTTCCAGAGCAAAGTTCATCTGGGATGTTCAAATCACATTGTTTTGGAGGAGTTATTTTGTATAACAAATGAAACATACTAAAAAAGGACCCCAAATGGCCATTATAATGTGTTGCTTCATTATGAATGGCCACAAGAAATCACAGAAAAGCTTTAGGGACCACCTTCAAATTAAAACTCAAGAACATTTATCGTGTACCATAGGTGAACAATAGATGTTTTACATCTTTAGGAAGTGTCCCCAAATCAAAATATTTGCATAGACAATTGTACAATGGACCTCTGTACAATTCATAGATTTAATTCATAGATAATGTCCACTGAAGTGAATGAATGAATCTCCCCCTCAATTGGTCACGATCCTCTTTTCACAGAACACATATTATCAGAAATGTGATTCAGAGTTATTCCTACTAAATAGGCAATGATGCCTGCAAATACTAATTTTGTTTGAAAAAACAATATGACAGACATTTACATCAAAATTAACCAATCAAAAAGTAAAGATGTCTATCTTAAAGCCCCTATTTTTGTGAAATTGGACAGTGTTATCTAATATGCTTAGAATTTTCATCTCATTCAATTGAAAAATATGTTATGACTCTCTACGCTTTTCCCATGCTAGATAATGGGAGGCACCAAGCATGGTTTGTATCAGGTACTAGATCAAAACAGACAGCCTCTAAATCAACTAGGTACTTTTTCCAAACCACTGGATTAGGCCATGAACTGAATCTTGTGGATGATGTGCACACCTCTAGATTGTGTAAAGTTATCCAAATATACCTAATTTCCCATGGAAGTCAAACCAATCATCTATTGAATCAAAGTTCCAGGGTCAAAATGCTGATTGAAAGTCATTGGGCTGATTGTATCCTTTAAAATATTGTTAAAAAATGAAGTAACGTTGGATTTTCTGCAATGATGAAATATTAAGGCTAGCAGATTTCACAGAGATTTTACATAATAGAAATTGTAATTTCAGTTTGAGCTGGTGTCAGCAATCTTCATATCCCCCCGTAGTAATGCCATTTACTTGCTTGACAGAATATTGGTACATAACATAAATACACATACGTACAATTCAGTAATCCTGCATTACTAACTTCATCAATATCTAGGATTCTCAGTTTTGGTACACGCATTTTGTTCCACATCATTCAGATCTACAATTTATGACAGATGGGGCAGGTTAGTTGTATCTGGCTTTTTGGTAGGCTAGTAACATGAAACTTTTTATGGTTGGGAGGCTACTTTTTTATTTGAGGAGGGAAAAGCAAAACATCCATGCCATGATAGTTCAGCAGTATGTACTGTCAAGTATCAGCAAACAATCAGAACCAAAAGAAAAAGGTTTCTGTGGGAATCATGGTTTTGCCTGCCTCTTGTTATATGAGATTGAGCAATATAACTTCTTTGTCCAATTAGTTGCCTCATAGAAAGAAAACCAATACAAACAAGAATTTAGAAAGGGAAGCATTTTCTAAAATGCAGGTCATTCAAGCATCAAAGAGTTTGCACAGTTTCTTTTTGAAACACTGATTTGAAAAAAAGACAAAAAAGCTAGCTAGCTAGCTAGACATGAGAAAGAACAATGCTGGAGGTAAGGGGATGCTTTCTTAACTTACAGCATGAATCTGCTATGACATATAACAAATAATAATAATTATATGATTGATTAATATATTCAGAATTTCTTAATTGACAAGAATGGCGTAGTGTTGCCCAGTTGCTTATTTCTGAAAACCATTTTAGTATACTTTTCACATAGTCTAGTATATTAGGTAAATAACTTCTTCACACTCCATTCATCATGCTTAACACCCAACCTAGAATTGTGGCCACTGTAGCAAAAAGATTGGCTATCCATTATCACTTTATACTGTAGAGTTGAGAACTATAAGTCTTTATTCTTCTTTGGAGTTTCTACAATATGACTGGGATGATCTCTTCCAGCAGTGAATCCTCTAAGAGTTAAGGATTCAACTGGAATTACGTTGCAGTGCCATAAACCAGGGCATAGGGGTCAGTTCCAAATGAATTGCAGCTGTCTTATCGCTTACTAATGTTATTTATTGTGGAGTTTAATTTAGCCACTTGTGTAAGTAAAGGCATGTGAACTGCCATCTGTTTGTAACCATAACCCTTGTGCAACTGTACAGGAGTCATGAATGCATGCCAGGTTGTTGTCAATATGAAGCTTTTCCTTAACAGTAAATTTCAATTCCTCATCTATCTAGTTTAAAGAAAAAATATTTGTGTGGGTATAAGGCAGTAACTACTTGTTTAGTATT